CTTCTTTGTTGCCTCATTGAATGTAGTGGAAGGTCGCTGAAACACAACATCAAATCAAGCCACGTTTTTGAAATCTTTGAGACAGTTGGTTTTAAGTTAACTGTTTTATATTTTTGCCATCTCTTTCAGACTGTTTTCTAAATTAAAATGACTAGTAACATATTAATTGTGTTTCTGGCGGGAATTATTCTACAGTTGTGCTCGGCAAGCCTGATTCAAGGTAGGTATTGAGTTAACTGGTTTCCCTTTCTCTCTGCAATACAGATAAAAGTGGCGAAGAGCAGTAAAGTAGCTATATAGGCATCATAAAGGGAAATTTAAAGTTCCGTTTTAGGCCCTGTCACACTGCGCCCGGAGGAATTTGAAAACGGAGGTTTATTTCTCCCGTTAGGCCTTCACTCCACACTAATCCGTCACGAATACGGAGCTTTCCGAAAACGCTCATCAAACCGGAGGAATTTGAAGACACCGGCCTTGCGTTTTAGTGTGGACAAAAAGCATTTTGAAAACGAAGCTTTTCGAAAATGATGACGTTACGATGATAATGACATTCCCCTGCCCAAGCGGAGTTACTCAAAAACAAATGTAAAATGACTGGTGATTGCTGCGTTTTCAAATTCCTCCAGCTTAGTGCGGACGGAGAACATTTGGTGCGTTTTCATAGTGAGATCTCCGTTTTTAAATTCTTCCGGCTTAGTGCGGACTTATTTGAAGTCACGGTTGTTAATAACAAATTGAAGAATCCGTGCATGCTCATTAAATAACAGAACGGTCTATAGGTTTTCGCAAATGTTACCTATCGCGCAGTGCTCGCTGTTTGTAAATGTTTGACGCGGAAAAAAGATCAAAACAACCAATAATTCTTCTCAAGGACTAATGTTCTTAGCTTGTCATCTTTATTTAAATTGATATTTTTAATTTTCAGTCATTTTTGGCTTAGAAATCGTTCACTCTATCTGGGTATATACCGAATTCTATCGTGAAAGAATTTCCCAATTTTAACACGACTTTAGCAACCCTGGAAGGGATTTCATGTGTCGCGTGTTTTCCAGTTTGTTCATACATCCTAAACATCATACAATATAAACGTTTATATATCTTCACTTTACCTATATCTAATAAATTGAGATGCACTGGTCATCTCAGTTAAACCCATTTGACCTATTTCTGAGTAACTATTTAACAACAAAAAATTAACGCATTAACTGTCAAGGTGGACATTTGGTACGAATTTGCGAATGGTAGTTTATTGCGGCTGTGTATGGACAAAAAAGATTATTAATTTGCTTCGACTACTGCAGTCGTTTCCGTTTGAGGTGAGCTTATGTACACATTGTATAAATAAGCATCACTGAAGTGGAATCACCTTAATATAAGTTCAAGGAAGTTTGCTTCCAAAATGTCCCTACGTATAAATTATTTGTCGAACTTGCCATTCAGTATTGGGTAAAGATCAACTTTTACGGAAAAGGGGAACAAAACTTGGAACTCATCGTGTTGTTCTCGAGATAATGCGCATTGAAGACCATACTTTTTAAGACGATCTTAGCCTACAATTATCAGCAATAAAAGGATTTTCAGTGAAATTTTGTTCAGGACAAAGTACTCTTTTCAACGCACATAAGTCTGTTAAGCAAACGTTGGCTGAGATAGAATAGGCCTTGAAAAAGAATCCATATCAGTCCTGCCCGCTCACATTTGAGGAAAACTTCCGTCGCACAGAGCAAATGAGGCGAAACATTTGTAACTTCTCAAGCAGAGTAAACTGCAGGATCGGAAAGGTTAACGCAGCCATTACTAAGACCGCCCAATATTTGCGTACATTTTTTCCTTATAGCGTGCGCGCTCGATGTATAACGCTTGACGTGACGTTGCGACACTAATTTCGTGCCCTACAAGGATGTCCCGATGCAATGGGCAAGAACGTCCTTAAATTAATTGTATGGAGTGAAAATACTATTAATAATTTCGAAGGTGCTTTGATTATTAATCTTAAACCATACGCAGGGTTTAACTTGCTGGAAAGGTTCCTTAAGAAATGAATCTTAATTACCTTAATCAAATTTTTTATTTTCAACACACTAAATCGTACTGAAAACTGTATCTAGCGTCACAAAGAACGACTAATTTCTTATTCAGACACCAAAGCCATTAGAGAAGAATTATAAAAAGAATCTCTCACACAACCAATATCACAGCAAGCCCTCTTTCATTGTCTCAAACACACTCGGTGTACAGCAATCACGTTTAAAGCAACAGCCAAGAAATGAAAATAAAAAATAGCATTCGGATAAGGTATTTTCTATGTGGGTGCAAATTCAATTTACCATATTGTTCAAGATTAGACGTGAACCATTTTTTTACATAATAGACACAACTCCTACTCGAAGGATACTACAAAAATCTCTCTGAAACTCAGAGTGCAATATCGCTTCGCTCTCGTAGGCTTTGTCTGGATCCATTGTCAAAATACACGCGCGATATTGCTTGTCTTAACTTTTCAGGGGCTTTTGTCATGTTAGGCTTTTTTTTCTGCTCGAAAGCCATGAATACAAATATAAATTACGATCGCTGTAAGGAAGTTGAGCGTAAAAAGAAAAGAGAAGAAAAAGACAGATTAAAAATTCTTACGGGTGATTCTAAGCCAAGTAGTAAATTAATGGTATTAATTATAAGACGGAATCCACCACAAGTTCGAGTAAAAGCGGACAAAAAAATTGTACCGAAGTTATTTACAGTGTATTGCAAACTTCTGTGCGACCGTTTTAAATATCTTCTCTAAAGAAATCATTTCTAACAAAACCAAATGTCGAAAACGAATTTTGAAGTTCATATGAAACACCTGAAAGTGTTAGTGAAATGAAACTGATGATGAAATTTTACCTGTGTTTGTACAATTTCTCCCAGCTTTAGATTTGATTTTCTCGAGTTCCCATAGGAAATTGCTTTTGGTGTTATTTCAGGCAACAATTTATATATTTAGCTATAAGAAAATGCAAAAAGGTCTGTAATATACCCTAAGTTATTCTGGTACAATTTTTTTTTTTTCCATTTAAAACTGAAATTGCTTGATTTCTTATCAGATTTAGCCTTAAGGCATCGAATTGTTAGTAAAAAATCGAAGTGTTAGCGAAGATACAAGATACGTGCGTTGCTTTTGAACAGTGATTAAAGATGCATATTAAACGCCTTTTAGGTCAAGTTCCTATTTCTTACTTGGGATGTTACCGTGAACAGTACTACAGCCCTCTGTTCTACCAAGTGTACCTTGATTACAGGTACAAAATTAATTGGGCGAAACTGCCTGATATGAGTCACGTGATCCAAGCATGTGCCCAGGAAGCCGTTAAAAGAAAATACTCGTATTTTGCCATCAAAAACTACGGTCAATGTTCTTGGGGACCGCAAGGACTTTCAATATCCAGTAGGAGGGTACCAGTGTCATGGTGTTTCTATGGACTCGGTGGACCATGGGTCGTTTCTGTTTACAAGATTGAAAAACCAACGGGTAAGTACAGGTTAGCCTTAAGTAGGTTCCTAAGAACTTTACATCCTATAAATGATGTGAAAATAATAACCGAATCATATCAGATCACAGCATGGTTAAACATGCAGAAGATGTCAACAGACAAAAATATACCAATCATAGCCGATGATTTGGAACAATATCATGCCGAATTCAAGATACTTGATTTATCGCATGTAAATTGTGGGGTACGTTTCCTTTTTTTTAATAGTTCGCAAGAAGAGTAATTCAACTGTTTTATTACCTAAGGAACTTTTTCAATAATTTAAATGCATTTTAACTACTAAGCAGTCACATACATTATTTCCAGTTGATATCAGTAGTTTCCAGTTTCCTTATTTTATTGCCATTAGTTTTCCCGCTTTTCACATCATCCCGTTTCATTTTTCGATTCCAACATCAGGCGGTGGATCCTGGTCACAATGGGGAGACTGGAGTCCTTGCAGCCATACTTGTGGAGGAGGGTCACAAACTCGCACGCGCTTCTGTAGTTCAGCATCAAAGAATTGCCAAGGAAGCAGCTCCCAGTCACAGCTTTGTGGGACCACAGAGTGTCCAGGTACTTGCTATTGCTATTCCCTGTGGTTACGAGACTCAAATCCCATCTTCCCCTCGATATGTTGTTATTCGCATTTGCCACCTGTTACATGCATGCAATCGCTAGATTAAATGAACAAAAGACGAGTACATTCGAAGTCCAAAGCCCTCACCAGAGAGCTAAGCTTACTTTCTTTTTCCTTTCCTTCCATAGTAAATGGCGGTTGGTCAAACTGGGGACCCTGGGGCGGCTGTAGCCTGAGCTGCGGAAGTGGAGTACAATCACGTACGCGTACTTGCACCAATCCTCCCCCGGCCAATGCTGGAGTCGATTGCCAAGGGGACAGTTCCCTGACCCAAGCTTGTAACACCAATAAATGTCCAGGTACAGGCTGATCAAAACAGTAAACAAGCAAGGAAACACAAGGATTATGACTCTCTCTTGAAAATTATAGCTTGTGCTTTTCAAACGACATTGCAAACCCCCTTGTTACATTTCTTTCTTAGTTAATGGTGGTTGGTCAAATTGGGGAGCCTGGAGCAGTTGCAGTGTCACGTGTGGTGGTGGCGTGCAAAGACGCTCACGACCTTGTACCAACCCTCCTACGAGAAATGGTGGCGTTGATTGTCAGGGAAATAATTTACATTCCCAAGCTTGCCATATCAATGGATGCCCAGGTAAGAGTCGGTTGAAAAGTGAACCAAGGGCTATATATGTATAAAAAACAATTAAACGTAAGAAATGTAAAATGTTACTGTAATTTGAAGTGTGTATTTAAAATCATTACGTGAGACGTTTGTTTTATTTCTTAGTCAATGGCGGCTGGTCAGATTGGGGAGTCTGGAGCAGCTGTAGCGTCACCTGTGGTGGTGGTGTTCAAAGACGCTTGCGAACTTGCCGCAACCCTCCTCCAAGTAGTGGTGGTGTTGATTGCCAGGGGAATAACTTACAACCCCAAGTTTGCAATACTAATGGATGCCCAGGTAAGGGTCAGTTGCCGAATAAATGAAAGTGATGGATGAAGTATGAATACGCGAAGCAATTCTGAAGAATCACCTGAAACAGTTTTTGATTACTCACCAATCACAGAAATAATTTCCTATGAATATGTAGTTTGCCAATTTCTTTATTATTATGCTCATCAAACAAGCNATTACCTGAAACAGTTTTTGATTACTCACCAATCACAGAAATAATTTCCAATGAATATGTAGTTTGCCAATTTCTTTATTATTATGCTCATCAAACAAGCTGTTTTTTCACTTTCTCTTTTTTCATATCACCTAAACGTATTTTTTATTTCTAACGTCAGGCGGTGGAACCTGGTCACAATGGGGGGCTTGGAGTCCGTGCAGCCAAACTTGTGGAGGAGGATCACAAACGCGAACGCGTTCCTGCAGCTCGGCACCACAGAGCTGCTCGGGCAACAGCTCCCACTCACGGCTTTGTGGGGCTATAGGGTGTCCAGGTAATTGCTATTGCTATTCACTGTAGTTACTAGACTGTTGAATTGTCATTTTTCTCTCGCTTGATCTAGGCCAAAATCTGTTAGTGCGTGTTTTCATTCAAATTTGGCGCATTTTACATATATACCAACGTTCTATTATATGAAATAAAGACGAGTACATTTTAAGTCCAAAAGCCCTCACAGTGGGTCAAGTTTAATTTTTATCTTCAAGTTCATTTCTTCCATAGTTAACGGGGGATGGTCCAACTGGAATCCCTGGGGTGGCTGTAGCCTGACCTGTGGCAGTGGAATACAAACACGCACGCGAACGTGCACCAATCCTCCCCCGGCAATGGGTGGAGTGGATTGCCAAGGACCTAGTTCCCTGTCCACATTTTGCAACACCATTGGATGTCCAGGTACTTTGTGTTTGACTCATGACTGAACCATAGCAGTAGACAAACAAGTAGACACGTTGATTTTGACCCGTTTCTTGTAAGTTATGGCTTGTGCATTTCGAATGAAATTGTAAACCCCTTCTAATGTTTTTACAGTCAATGGTGGTTGGTCAAATTGGGGAGTCTGGGATAGCTGCAGTGTCACATGTGGCGGTGGCGTTCAAAGACGCTCACGAGCTTGTACCAACCCTCCTCCGAGAAATGGTGGTGTTGATTGTCAGGGGAATAATTTACATTCCCAAGCTTGCAATGTCAATGGATGCCCAGGTAAGGGTCGTTTGAAAAGTGAACCAAAAGCTATAAGCAAACAAGTAAACATAAGAAATTTAAAATGTTACTGTAATTTGAAACGTGTACTTTAGAATCATTTCGTGAGACGTTTCTTTTATTTCTTAGTCAATGGCGGCTGGTCAAATTGGGAAGTCTGGAGCGTCTGTAGTGTCACCTGTGGTGGTGGCGTTCAAAGACGCTTGCGATCTTGTACAAATCCTCCTCCAAGAAATGGAGGTGTTGATTGCCAGGGGAATGACTTACAATCCCAAGCTTGCAATACCAATGCATGCCCAGGTATGAAACCAAGTATATAAGTTTATCAAAGCAATAAATAAACAAATAAACCAGCAAATAAACAAGCAAAAACAAGAAATAAAAGCTATTGTGCATAGCTTGAAATGCGTATTTGAAACGGGATCTTCGAATTTTTCTTTCTGCCGTTTCGGTTAGTCAGGTTGGGGAGTTTGGAGCGGCTGTAGTGTGGCATGTGGCGGTGAAGCTCAAACGCGACGCGCATTAACGATAATAGGGGTCAATGAATGATAAAAACTATAATACAAACAATAACCACAAATGCAACGTTAATCAACATTTTACGAAAAAATTGCACACTGCAATTGTCTGTGAGACGTTGACGTCAGTATGTTATTTCATGGGAAGAAACTACAGATTTGCAATGTCATTTTCCAGTAAGGATCGATACATTTATCATGTTACTACGCTTATTTTTTTTTTTTGAAATTGTGAAATAAATAGCAATAAATTATCATTTTTTTCTGCAATACTACGATTTATTACTTATTACAAAAACGTAAGTGTTATTGTCAGAGAAAACCGGGCAGTACCAAAAGATCGAGGTCGGCCGTTTACCTTCATCTTTTCACAGTACAAAACCTACCCGAAAAGATTAACAACCATGACATTTGCCGAGGTAGGCGTTCGTTTTTCTTCGAGATATCAACACATCATGATTTTGGGCTCTCAAACGGTCGAAAATGGCCGACATTTCGGGCAACTTTAGCCGAGCCTAAAAGATACTTCGTACAAATTCCAGAAACTCTTATTTTTGTGCGATAATATTTGTCCCTTTATTAGTTGGCTGAGATATATTTGCGGTCTTTCCCTTTAATTCGACGGTTTTTACCAGGTGCCAAATATCGCCGCCGAATCGTTAATTAGCGTGACCCGAATTTTAT